CATACATAAGACCTCGCATTTGTAGGGGGGTCCGGGGTTATCCTCCCCCGGGAAATTTTGAAATCAAGGACCTCGGAAATGCGATTTCATGCATTCTGAGCGAACTCTTTTGTTGCAATTCCTATATCAGAGTCACAAAAATTTTGCTGCATTTTTGGAAAAACACATAAAAAACTTGAACCTATATCGCAAAAAAAACATAATTTCTCCACATAAGAAAAATTTTTTTGCTTGTACAAGTGTAATAGCAGCAGTGGCAATAAATTTCTATTAAAAAATAGTCAGTACTGTGCTTCTTGTAGCCTTAACTTTTCTATTGAAAAACATTTCGGCAGAAAATCACGACAACGCAAATACACGCATACTATGTAACAAAGGTGTATACAGTGTGCTCCACTAGTTGCATTGTTGGACTCAGAAGAAAGTGTTATTATGTTGTTTATGAACCACGTTCCTCTATTAATTTCCAATGTACCGTGAGTAAAATCTTCTAGCATTAGAATTTAAAGTAAAATAACATATCATGGTGCATACAGATTAAAGGTATTTTGTGCTTTACTGGGTAAATATATGCAACTCTGTCTTATGCTGCTAATCTTACTCTGCATGGACAGTGTGGTTGGCATCAGCTGGTCAATTTCATTTGCCCCTAGGCTAGCTGCCTTTCAGATGAACTGCATGGTGAATAGCCCACACTCTGAATACTGAGAATATTGCCTTGTGGCGAGGAAACCAGTAAACTAACACACAACAAACACTGGGTTTAAAATTATATAAATATATAACTAGGTACACACACGTTTTAAATCAATAGAGACTGTGTGTAAATTAATTTAATGAAGCTATCTTAATTGGAAATTGTTTGTTAAATACAGTAAACCAATACCAAACTGTACAATGATAAACATGACATAATTTAATCATATGTCTTCTATCTGTCCCCTTTTGCCTGCCTTTCAACTAATATTAATACAGTACTCCTTTAAGAAAGGCTGCACAGTAGTATTGATGAATATTTAATTTTCCCTATGTTATTATATAAATGCACATCTTGTCAAATATATCCATACACTTATCAATGGTAATCGTAATCCTCAGGGTGGTATGCTTGGCTATCCAAAACATAATGCTGGGATAATTAGCATTACAAATATATAATTTAATTAAATATATTTTCCAAACTATCCCACTTTTGTGAGCAAATTTCATAATTATAACCTGTATACACCAGTTACAGTATATACAGTATTTATACCGTCCATCATTTTATCATTGATTCTAAGATTAAAATCTGTCAGGAGAATGTCATATGACATATACAGCTTATATCAAATTATATTTGCACAGACAAAGCATATAAACACTCAACTAAGGTAGGCGAGCAATCCCAGGTTATCATCTTTGTTTGCAAAATATCCAGCTAGTGTACAGTAATTGCCCAATAATTCAGGCAATGAAGACCCCTGTCACAAGGAATGCCAGCTCATTTCCATATAAAATGAAAATGAAATGAAATAGGAGATACCACTGGAAGTTGCAACTTGAAACAATTACCTTTCATGTAAACTCCCCCTTAGTCTTCTAACCAATGTTGCATTAATTACTATTAGAAATCTGATTAACTTGCAATTATGCTCTGTAATTACATACAGAGACTGATGGAAGTCTTGATCCATTCAGAGTTACTTTCCACCCACACTATAGTTTTATTTTTGGTATCCAATCAAAATGTGCCAGAAGAAATGTCAATTTCACATAATAACAACAAGCTAAATATAGTTACAATCACTAAATATATCATTATTTAATTATAGCATTAACCAATTATCAAAACAATACATTAAATATGGCATGAATACTCATGCTAGAAATAGCCAATCGGAGTTACAACAATAAAGGCAGTTGTAGGACACAAACATTTAATAACATGTGTATCAGGTCTTCAGATTTCGTTGCCCGCCAGCTGTGAGAAAAATGAAGATCTGTGCACAGGATATAATCCCATGTAAACAGAGATGAACTTTGCCTCAGTAAAGCAAGCTGTCAAGTTTTGTATTGGGGCTAGTTTGCCTCCAGACAAGCAAACCTCTGTAAAATGTCCCACTCTCCCCGCCCCCTCCCAACCACTAACATATTTCTGGTCTTTTGGAATATAGAGCAACAACAGTAATAGACACAAACTGTAATAATTATTTTGTTATTACATACAAATCTATATTACTTGTGGACCTCATTTTCCACTTTACACACTTCTTGAACTGAACAATTTAGTAATTTACTACCATTTGTAAAAATATAGAGAAATTTAACTTACTTTATAATTTAATAGAGCCGTCAGTTCGATCGAGTTTCACATCCTGGGCATAAGATCCCTTCCATTTTTCCACTTGGTAGTAATTGGTTCGACTGTAAATTATTTGTTCTCCGTCAATTTCGAGGGATTTCTCTTCGCATTATTTGTCCATTTGCATATAGTGTTTGCATATCCAAATTGATCAAATATCCTTGCAGCCATGACTTGAATCGAATGCTTCGTTACGTCACAGTAGATTTGATTTTGCAATTTGCATCAGTGCACCGATGCGAGCGCCCGCAATCTGCATGCGATGCATCGCCTAGCGGCCAAATCTAACGTGACGTAGGGCTCTAAAACAATAGATTTGATGATGTCACGTTAGATTTCACGCGGAAAAGGACTCGGAACCGATGCATTCACTGATGCAAAATGGATGCCAATCGAATCTAACGTGACGTAGGTGATGCATTTTGCTTCAACTGTGACGTCAAGGATGCGGTAAAAAAATAACATATTTTGTCGCGAAAATATTGACGCTTAAGGGTCGCAAAATAACAGAAAGTACACATTTGCGATCGCAACGTCGTATGTTGGACTTATTTTGACAATTTCGACTGTTATTGAGACTATTTAAATTGGATTTCATCCTAAATAGTGTATTCCTGACATGGAGTCAATTTTAAGCAAAGATTTGCGGGTTGATAGGAGATATTTTATTACTGAGTGCTTTGACTATTGGCGACATTATATATCTATATATTTCAAGCAACATGAATCAATTTTGACCGATGCATTCGCATCGCTGGCATCGGTCTGGATCCGCCCCTGGAATAAACCACGAATAAACACTTCAGTTCCTGAGTGAAAGGGAATTATAAAGTTCCTTTACATATATTGCGACTAAATTATATATATATATATATATATATATATATATATATATATATATATATATATATATATATATATATATATATATATATATATATATATATATATATATATATATATATATATATATATATATATGCATATATATATATATATATATATATATATATATATATATATATATATATATATATATATATATATATATATATATATATATATATATATATATATATATATATATATATATATATATATATACCGGGTGTCCCAAAAAAAGTACTCCTGTTTGATTTATAATAACTTCTAAACAAGTAAAGCTATCAAACAGAAATAACTTGCATTACATATAGGAAGGAATATATATATACCGGGTGTCCCAAAAAAAGTACTCCTGTTTGATTTATAATAACCTCTAAACAAGTAAAGCTATCAAACAGAAATAACTTGCATTACATATAGGAAGGACTAACTTAGATTTTGATATATTACAGTTATATTTTACTTAAAAATTCACCGAGATATTAATGTTCAAAATCGGGAGCATATTTTCGGATGTGTCTAAAATGAGCGAAAATCGGCATATCAAATATAACTCCAGCGTTTCTTTGTTTAATGACATATCAGGCTAACTTGTAATTCAACGAATTGTCGTTAGGGTTTGTATAAGGGATATGGCGTAGATTTAGACATCTTAACATATATGCATGTAAGTCTTAGCTCATTGTTTCCTGAAATATGAATGTTCGAAATTATGCAAGTATTTAATAGGTCTTTACAAACTTAAAGGTACATGAAAGACCATGCAAGGCAGGCGCTTAAATTTTTCTTAAATAGCCTAATTTTTTTATGTTTTTCATGGGTTCAAAACAGTTGATTATTTCTCGGTTAGAGCAAGATGAATATTATTCTTTAATGAAGGAAATAATATTGCTTTTTGCAAATACACATCACAGTATCAACGCTACTATTTTGTTACGTTTTGTTCCAAAAATGTTGGATGTCTCTGGGGAGTTGCTTGTTATGTCTTATGGAGTTGTATGGTTTGATTGTGTTTCATTCTCTGTTTATTCTGAACTTGCCAAGATTAAGAAAAGGCAAAAGAGTTTGGGTGTTCTTAACAAGATTTCAGAACGTTGCAGAAGTTAGAAGAGCTTCACAATTCCATTGTGACAGCATGCCCTAATTCTGAACTACGAACGATTCATGACGATCCTTCGAAATGCAGTGGTCTCATGAAATAAGGAAACGTATTCGTGCTAGGAACGAACGCGGATTTCGGACGAATAAATCTTGCTTGTATTTTGTAGATATAATAATACTTTGTTTCATAATAAACAATTTCTCAAGTGTCATTTATTTACTGGTAATAGTGCATGTTTCAGTCGGGCAAATCTTGATTAATATTTGATACGCCGTTTTTTGCATATTTCAGACACATCCAAAAATATGCTCCCGATTTTAAACATTAATATCTCCATGAATTTTTAAGTGAAATACAACTGTAATATATCAAAATCTAAGTTAGTCCTTCCCCTATTTGATGCAAGTTATTTCTCTTTGAAAGCTTTACCTGTTTAGAAGTTATTACGAATCAAACCGGAGTACTTTTTTTTGGGACACCCGGTATATATATATTATATATATATTATATATTATATATATATTATATATATATATATATATATATATATATATATATATATATATATATATATATATATATATATATATATATATATATATTTAGGAATTTCGGTAATTTAATTCCTGATTTCCTTTAAACATTAACTAAACTCTCATTAATTAAGATGCAGAGAAAAGGAAATAAGCAAAAAGCTGATTTAATCATAGGCAGCCCAGTAAATATATGTACTCATTTAAAAATGCCTTAAAAACACTTAAAAATGCGCATAAAGTTCACATGACTTTGTTATCTGTGTGTACCCCATTATGTATGCAGACTCGTATAGTTACGTCATTGTATTGTCATATAGTATCATATCCTATATGATATTACACTATATTATACTACTATAGCATACTATACCATATGACAATACAATGACGTAACCATGCCAGTCTGCATACATAATAATTTACACAATCCAGATATTATCGCTGCTGGGCTGCCTATGATATAATCACACCAAGTGGTCCGTTATGCGTATTTCTAATGTGTTCTAGTGTTATATCATTTTTTCGATACATGCATGATAAATATTATATGCAGCACAGTTTAAGGACTGCTTTCACTAACGAGGGAAACAATATCGACTTCGAAGCTTACAGAACTTACAATTATCAATTATCCTAATTAAACCATTCTCCCACAATCGTGCATGGAATCCTGTACACAGAGTACAGGCTGCAGTATGTCAAAAGGAGCAGAACGAATTTATCGTTCATTGCGAACAATTTGTTTTTCGGTTCTGTTGTTCTTTATGGTGTCCCATCCCTGCCAATAATCAACTTTTTATTTTCAACACAATTTTTTATTTTCAACACAACTTTTTATTTTTAACACAATTTTTTATTTTCAACACAATTTTCTATTTTCAACACAACTTTTTATTTTCGACACAACTTTTTTTATCCAACCGCAATCCACTCATGTCATATATCGCAGGCTTGTATTGTGCAGTATAAATCACTTCAGTTATTTATATAGCGGACTTTTTTAATTTCTCGCGCAATTTGCCGCGCCTTATATTCAGCAATAGTGGATCATTCAGGGTTGAACGAAGTGAGGGCTACTCGTTTAATTTACAGGTAAACTACGTGAAGCGTTCCTCTTTTAGTGACTTCCTAAGTTACTCATTTGGAATTTTCCTCATTAGCTTTGCAAATTTGAAAGACTGTTTGCAAATAACAATACAATTCTGCAATTCTGGTTCACTCACTGTATACTAATTAATTAGTTATATTCATTCCAAAGGTTGGCAAGAAAGTCAAATTAAATTAAACATTACCAGACCTTAAAACTATCGAAAATACTTGAAATATTTTAAAAACTACGCTAAAATACCAAAACTTAATTCGATGATAGTTTTGCTACATTCTTACAACTTTTCTTGCGAAAAAGGTACAAGCCCGCGATACATGACATGAGTAGATTGCGGTTGGATAAAAATGTTGAAAATAAAAGGTTGTGTTGAAAACATAAAGTTGTGTTGAAAATAAAAAGTTGTGCTGAAAACAAAAAGTTACTGTATGTTGAAAATAAAAAGTCGTATTGAAAATAAAAAAGTTGATTTTTGGTGGGGATGGGACACCATAGTACTTAACATTAGTCACACGCTTGTTAAGTGAATAAAAGAAACTTACTTCTGCGAGTTTTCTTCCAGGGAATACTCTATTGAGTTTCATCTCGAGATTTTCAGCCAAAGGAAGAAGTCTCTGATGAATTAATGTATGACAAACACCAACACGAATGCTAGAATATCATAATTGATTACTGATTATACCATAATTTGAACAGTTATTACAAATATATGCCTGCATATTTCTGATCAACCTTAAAATGCAAGTTAAAGAGCGGCGTATCAAGGAGCTGAAGGAGGGGGGTTTGCAGGGTTTTATAAAGTCGAGACTAGATATGCAGAAAATGAAATTGTTAAACGATGTTGGCAATAAAAATTACTAAGTTACAAAACATATAGGAGAGAAATGCTCATGCAGTATAGTAACTGACGTCCGATCTTAACACAATAAATACAATCCAGCTTTTGTCAGGTTTATCGGATGTACTAACAACTAATATATATAGGTTGCTAAGAGGCTGCCAAATTTTTCAACTAACCATTTAATTAGAGCTCTCAATGAGAAGACCATTTGTTTCATATTTTCCTCTTCTGATAAATAATGTTTCTCGTGTTTCTCTTGTTGAATATCAGTCCAAGATTTTAAAGTACTCTCAAATTCCTATTAAATAAAAAGATGTGTGATGGCACATTGACTCGTGCATTCCCTTCACCTCCTGGACCTGGGATTCATGTCTTGAAATATACAGTTATTTCGTGTTAGCTATAACTTTGCCAAAGTCACATGTGACCTGAATGTATGTTTCCAGTCTGACTCTACCAAACACTTGAGAAATGATATAGGGCGATTCAGTATAAATAAAGATAGCTCACCGTAATGTTATATTTCCAACAATCAACAGTCGCAGATAGGAAAATTCTCATATTTAATTTCGTCAAGATTTCACTTTTCATTTGACAAGTTTTCAACTGATCGGTCGAGCAATCGAGACCATTAGTCCGTGTGTTGTGACCCGATATCGTTCACTTTCATTAAGCATGTCTTAGATCTGAAATATTTTTACGGGAACTAACACTTTCGAATACGCTGATTTCAAATCCGAAAAGTTCCCACTCCGTAGACCCGCAGTTTTTTCACAAAATGCTATTTTATCTTCACTAATTTCACAACTAATTTTTTCATTGTTCAACGATACGGATCGATGACGATACACGATTATGTCACTCAAAAGGACCAATTTCTATTAACCATTCTTCCTTTTAACAAAAGATCGGTTTTGCTTGAATCATTTTGAGTTATGTAATCTTATGCGTGTTGGACGTAAACAACATATCTTGTCTACAACTTTGAGAAGGTACAGATAACGCTTTCTAAAATCCTCAGTTCTAGAGATATCTCTTTAAAATCACAATGACGTTAAAGTCAAGTCTTTTAGCTATGTCACCGGCCTGAAAAATAACTCTTTTAACGCGATCAAGATATTTAAAACAAAAGTAACGCGAAGCCAACGTAACGGCAAAGATGATAACGCTAAAACGAAATATTGTCGAATGGTTGCAGGTAGAAGACTTCCGACAGGATCAATCTTAAATAACCTTAAACTATAAGAATAAATGTTCACATCAAAGACAAAGATCAGTCACAAAGTATAAAATACGCTCTGTAAACTTACCGCGAAGTGGAGAAATGTGTGCATGAGCTGTTTATTTGATTATTTCGACTTATATAGAAGCCCTCTTTCCAATAATACTCGCTTATCGCACAGCATAACACCAACTGATGTAATAGTTCAAATGCAATGATAAGTTATCTCTTGAATTACGTCTTGGAAACAGTGTTGGAAATTTCAGTGCTGATCCATTACATATAGATTACCGTTTTATATCTTTGTATAAAACATTTTGATCGCATGTAAGGAATTATTTCTCAGCCCAGAGACATAGCCCAAAGACTTAACATTAACGTTCTTGTGATTTAATAGAAATAGATCCAGAACTAAGGATATTAGAAGGAATTATCTGTACCTTCTCAAAGTTGTAGACAAGATATGTTGTTTACGTCCAACACGCATAAGATTACATAACTCAAAATGATACGAGCGAAACCGGTCTTTTGTTAAAAGGAAGAATGGTTAATAGAAATTGGTCCTTTTGAGTGACATAATCGTGTATCGTCATCGATCCGTGATGTTGAACAATGAAAAATTTGTTGTGAAATTAGTGAAGATAAAATAGCATTTTGTGAAAAAACTGCGGGTCTACGGAGTGGGAACTTTTCGGATTTGAACTCAGCGTGTTCGAAAGTGTTAGTTCCCGTAAAAATATTTCAGATCTAAGACATGCTTAATGAAAATCGTTTTCTAGGCACTTTTCGAGGTCACATGCAACACACGGACTACATCAAATGCTTGTTGTGGACATTGAAGATTTAGGTAATTATGGACAATGTTTTACCTGCAACTGTTCGTCATTAAATTAAAAGACAGTAGCAACGACGGTTTACTTACTGCATCTCGGACTAACATCTGTGCTCTGTTTTTATGTACGATTTTAATAACACCAGGAGGTTGCATCCAAGGTTCACCATCAACTTGCACTGGAACTGCTTCATCTGTGATGGTGATCTTCACTGAGCGACACTAAATTTACAATACAATAATTAAAGTCCATACTATAAAATGAAATAAGGGCGTAGCTGACTATATCATGATCCCGTCTTGACAGTGCAGAATGGAAGGCGAAATGATTTTGAAAAAATATTAAAATGATCCTAATGAGCACACAAGATAATAAAAGAGATGAAATTTTGTTGACTCCTGACCATGTAGTCGCTGTTTAAACTACATACTAGGTATTAGGAAAACTATATATTCTAGTACTCCAGAATCAGAAAGCGTGGTTTAAACTACAGTACATACTAGGAATTAGGGATTTAGGAAAATATTCTAGTAGTCCAGAATCAGAAAGCGTGACTTGCATATGAATTAAAACTTATGTACTGTATGGTATTAACCAGGATCCAGAATTGGGATACTGGATTCTCAGGGGGGGGGATACTTAACGTTGAATCCTGGTCCCAGTTGGATACTGAGAAAAATTTAAATTTCAGACCCTGATCCTGCCTCTCATGCCGTACCGGAACGTGGTACCATACAAACGGACATGAAATTTCATGCACACTGTCATATTTTAAAAGTTTATTTTACAATTTAATCAGAATTATATATAAATTTTAATCCAAGCAGCAGATAAATGACAATGCATAAAACAACCACCAAATAAATAATTTACCTGAGCCATTCTATAGTACGGCATACCACCAAATACCTTCGCAACACCCTGTCAAATAAAAATAAATATATGTTATTTACCGGATTGGAGGTCCGTATAGAGAAATATTTCTCGAGGTCTTAAAAACGGCCCGAGGCCGAGGGCCGAGGGACGTTTTTAAGACCGAGAGAAATATTTCTCTATACGGACCGACCATACCGGTAAATAATATTTTTATTTTTTTTTAATTCCTCCTCTGGATAATTTCCCCAATCACTCCTCCCGCACGCGAATGAAGCTGCCAAATAAAA